GAAACTTGAATGAGACATGTCTATGTGTATATATGTATATATTCAACTGGTTATCTGACTATCTATCATGAATAGAGTTATTACGTTTACTGTAGCTAGTGTGAAATCAGGCCTGACAACAAGTTCGAGATATCTATTCGTCACCGGATATTGACTCGGCACTAAAGAATCTTGGACATACTCTTGAGAATTCACGGAATTATTCCAGGTTGAACTTTCACGGTTATACAGGAATGGATAAATTAGATATTCGAAAAATTTTTAAGGAAGTTATGAATATGAGAAAGTTGAGAAAAAAGAGAAGGACTATGGGTAATAAGAAGTATTATAAATATTATAACAGTAGCTTGGCGCAGACACATTATGTAAAATAGTCAGTGCGCACTCAATAATTTTCCACGATTTTAATATTTTTATCTTCTAACCGAAGCAAGCGTGATGCCTGTAATCTTCATTGTACTAAAGTTTCCGAGAATAGCTATATTGCGGGTTTTATGTCGAAAGGCACTGGACTTCGATCGATGGGGATTTCAAATTCTTGGGCAGCTGTTGCGAAATTTCCGCGATACTTGGAACTTTCACGGTTTTATAATTACAATTATTATTTATCTGTATTATTTGTCATTATAATTTCGGTTAAGCTGTTTTTTTTATATACTTCAAGTATTAATTTGATTTTTCGAATTTTATCACTTTCTTGAAAACTGGTCAAATTTCATTCTTCAGGGAGGAAGACTAACAATTGGTCCTGACAACGACTTCAAATAGCTTGTTGCCTACGGTGCCGGTGTACCCTGTTGCAAATAGCACATCATTAGGCCGCGTACGCGTAGGGCGTAATGCTATACATTACTGACTAATGGCAGTGTGCGCATTGCACCCGAGCAAATGCATAAATCCGTTGTTTCCGAGGTCGAGAATGAAAAAAGAAGTATGAAAAAAAGAAATGAAACGTGAAAATTGTTGAAAAATATATAATAAAACTAAGCGTAAAGTAACGTGTAAAGTAGATAAGCATTAAAATCATTTCCATGCCGATGCGTTTCTTAAAAACTTGAAAATTTGACGAGGGTATTAACGAGAATTCTGTCGCGGCAATTAAATGCATTCTACGGAGACACAATCTTGGTAGAAATAATAAAAAAATTTTTAAGATTAACAAAAATGTTTTGAAAGAAAAAAAGTAGCAGACAGCATATTTTATCTACCGCATACGATGGAATATTTTATAGTGTAAATTTGAGGGTCCGACACCCACGCCTCGCATACTACTCATATTAGTCGCTCTTAATAGCCGCTATGCTTGAGTATAACAACTGAATAATTATTACACTGGCGACCTCCTCGTTGGCGATGTGCTCCTTGGACTATAATGGTTTAGCTAAGCGTGGCTAATTAGAATAACTAGTGACGCCGTGACGACTAATTAAGCAGTACTTAAGTTGCTTTGCCATTTGCGTACATATAAAAACAAGCTCACGCTTTTATCTTGCCTCTGAATTACAGTACCGAACGACCCCTTGTAAAAGGTCATGGAATTACTCAGATTTGATATTATACGGATTATCATTAGGGAATCGTTTCGATAATATACATAGACATATAAGCTTGAACTAATACGAGAAAATATTGCAACGCTTAAAGTCCTTCTAGATTCCACATCATTCATAGTTCGTTAATGGTACTAATACCGACGTCAGTTGGCCACCCTTTCATCACTTTTTATTGAGTCAGCATTATACCGATAGGACAGGATTTTCTATTGCCACATTATGTAATATAGGTTTTACGACACACCTGCTGCCTGGGATTTGCCTTACCAGTGGTATAGCTTATGCATTGAAAATTATAAAATCTAAAATATATATTGCGATCCAATTACGATTTAAAGTATCAGCTTGATGTCAAAAAAATTTTTGAAAGCTTTTTTTGACAGTTTTTCATTTCATGCCAGCCACCTGTTCCGCAATATTCGACCTTTTCGGGTTTAATGGTCCAGCGACCAGTTTTAAACCATTTTCGACCTTGATCCTAAATTCGCGGTCTGACCTTTCCTCGTGGTAATTACTCAACCCCGTTTTTTTCGGTGCTCTTCACGTTTGTCAGGACACCCTGTAGATTATCTTGCGCGTGGTGAGTTTGGGCCACCGAGCGCCGGTGCATTCCAATGCAAATAACTCGCCCCAGGATGCAGCGTAATCGTCGCAATTTCATGCTTCTCAGAAATTCAACCTCTTTCCTTTCTTCTTCTTCTTCTTCTTCTCGGGCTTTTTTCTCCGCCTTCTCTTCTTCTACTTTTACCTTTATCCACCCTCTGGGTACCTAATTGTATTACCTCTTGTCGGTAGTATGTAAAACAAGGTTAAAATGGTACCGAACTATTGACACGTCATAATCAGTCTTTGACTTGTCAACGTACGATTCATCTTTTACATTTACCCGCTGTTAATATTTTGCATTCCGTTTGTCAGCCTGTCTAAATAGATACTGAGAAAATGTAGGAATCAGTAGATAAACGAGGCGAGAAAGTAAGATCCGATATGAATCAAACGTGTCGCAAAGACTTGTATGTTTCCGGGATCGATTAATATATGTTCCTGCTTAAGCAATCCGGTCCAGGACGATATCAACGATCGTACTGTACCTATTCAATGTCCAAAGGGTATACAGTTATACATTATTCATCATACATTATACTATTCATATACGAAATGACAGGGAAATATAGTGCAGGGTTATTTACGACAAACGCACTTTAATAGAGAGGATTGTTGATACAGAGAGTTATTTCATTATCTAACGATTAAATTAGACTTATTAATTATTGGTAACCACCTTTTTGATTGCTAGATTACTTGCTAGTTTTTCTTTTCCTTACTGAATCCTCCTTACACAGAAGATACGTGCCATAGTAGTTACTGGTTCCCTTCCTTCCTTTCCTTATGGCCTTATTCCCAATAGGATATTCGCCAGTGACTACAGTCGGTCTATGATTTCAATGTGTTTTTTAGCATTTCGCGAGCAACGCAATCCTTGGAAAATCATACGTTGTTTTTCATAAAATTGATTTAAAAATAGAAAAATAAAATATATTTAGTGCAATACAGTAATATAGTATGGATAATTTTTAACAAAAATTGTATACAGTGACACGTGTATCTTGATAGAGACTTCATTGATTCTTATCTGTCAAAAAATCACATCGAACTCGTGAAACAACTATAGTTAGTAATGCACTTCGGGAGACGGATCTTATAGAGACAAGTGTCAAGTCCTAAAACACTAGTAGTTTGGACACCGAATTTAAATAGTATTGGGCGAAATCTGTATGAATATTCAGATTTTTTATGAAAAAAAAACTCATGGGTTAACTGCTGCTGGGAGCAGGACGCGAACCCCGATCTTTCTAGTCGAAAGCCGCAACACTGTCCACCGACCTACGGTACTTCCAAGTTTCTATTTCCTTTTATTGGGATGCGGTTGTGCATATACATTAAGTACAATAGAGGAGCCACAGCGCTAGTGATAGAATATCCCTATAACTCGCAAAACCTGAAGTTAGCCTTTTTATTTAATTTCTATGGTAGAACCAACGGTGGTGCCTTTGTACTGACTAACCCTATTATGCAGTACTGAATGATTGTATGTACTTAACATGCGCAATAGTACATTCGGTATATACCACACAAATTTCTATATATGTTTTTTATAGGAAGCTGGGCCGAACTAGACATGCGTGTTTGCTAGAACGAATGCTTCGGGGCAAACCGAGAGAATTTAGCGTGAAATGGATTCTTCGCTACTCTCTCCGCAAATTATACCGTACGGAATAAATATACTCGCGTGTCTCGTAAACGTTTCGGGACGAGTTTTATCAGTGAGATCGGCACCTACGTCGCTCGGTGTAATCCTTCATTAGAGACAGTGGCTTATTACCACTGTATCCTTATAAAAATTCAGAGACGTCCGCCTTGTTGCGAACACGTAAATCTCGTTCAGAGAAATTGATAATGTTCCGATTCCTGTCGTATCCTGGTAATTGCCTCGGGACTTTGCTATACCATTAGCTACAGTTAGCGGTCTATATACATACATATATGTATACGGAGGAACACAGCCGACCACTTATATTTTCACTGTAGAAATTAGCACAGACTTAATTTATTAGCTATGCTGGGGAGGATCTTCTACGAATTTTACTGCCTGAAGTCACACGGGAGTCGAAGTGACTTTTCAAGGATATATGGATTTAGATATCGGTAAGAATCGTGCGTCTGGGTATGAACCTTTGCTGTTCCTTAAGTGATCCTTGTCAAATTATAACAGAGTACAAAACGTGGTGGAAACGTCTCGCGTAGCCATTGAAGAGCGGGAGAAATTTAAAATGCTAATGAGGAATCGCGCTGGTAACATGGCGGATATAGGTAGGATAGCCAGTATAGGTACGAGGTTTGTTGACTTTTATTCAATACGATCGTGGAGGCTTTCACGCGTCCTTATTTATCGGAATTTAATTCGACGTTTAGCCAGGTAGACTCACTACCGGTCATTGGACCTGGGACCAGAAATACTTCAATGTTGCCCAACGTCAAGTACCCTGAGTTACTAAAATTTATCGAAACCCGTTCCCTTATTTATCTACAATTAAGGTAGTCGTCTACCAAACGATTTCGGTATCTACTAACTAATAACGATGATTTGCGGGCGTGCTTGCCTTTTGATACTTTACTATATGTATATGTACGGAAACGTATATGAATAATGGTGCACTAAGAGTGGATGATTATTTTTAAGATTTTAAACCGACGTTCACTAACTGGGAAGAGTCAGATCAATTAAATTGATAAGAACTAGAAAGTCTTAGGTTTAAATAATATTTTAGCCTTGGATGAATAATCTTTATATACACTGTGTATGTACAAGATGTGAAATTGTAGCTACTGTGAAAACTCTGATTTTTCAAAGATTTACTGTTAGAGCAATCTCTTTTTCTGATCCAGGGTGGTTGGAGCGGTGGTCGTTGGCGCTGCTGTCTGTGGTCGCATCCCAGGATTGGCCAAGGGCCAGAGGGAACAGTGCAGGAAAGCGCCGCACGCGATGCCAGCCGTCGGCGAAGGCGCTGAAATGGGTCTTCGGGAATGCAGGCATCAATTCAGGCATCATCGGTGGAATTGTTCCCACGTGGCCAATGATCAGGTCTTTGGTCATGTTGTGGTTGTAGGTGAGTAATTGGCTTTTGATAAATAGGTTAGGCTAGGTTGGGTTATGTCGATAACGGAAGATCGTAGTACCAAGATGGCGACGATAATTTCTGCGGCAGTGAAAGATTGTCTTGAAGAGGGAAATATGTTGGAAAACAGGTGACGGCTGAAGAAAAATAAAAAGGAAACATAAAATGGTGTGCTACTACGGTAACCAACGATTACAAAGGGTACCACACTTTGGGTTATAAAATGACTATCCTTCTGTCCCGGGCGATCTGTATTTATAACGGGTGGGCATGATATAATGAAACTGGTTTACCCGTGTAAATAGTTACGTTTCTCGGGTTAGTTAACGATTCAATAGAGTGCCGGTTCTCTTTGGTATAGGGAGGCCGCGGCATTCTTCGGTACCGAAGATAAATTATGAGGGGTGAGCGCCCTGTGGCGTAAAATCCAAATTCCTTGTCACGGAGGTGCATTAATATTTTTTCTCTTTCTTTCCCTTTTTTTATCTCTCTCGAATTCCATGAAACGCACATTGGTCGGCGATTCGCCCGTAGGGTCCGATAGTGACGGAGCAACTTCGTAAAAAAATAAATAACAAAAATAATCGACCTATATAACTGACTTCCGTATAAAATTTCAAGTTTCCAAGTAATTTTTTTAGGCTATTATGTAAGTTATATGCTTCAATTTATTATACACGTAGTTTCATTTCTTCTTTGAGGTTAATTCGAAATGGGTTAAGTGTCCACGGATTGATCTGAGTTTATATATTTCCACCCTTGTTAACTCGCAACTAAAGTCATCTCGACGCGATGTCGCAGGAGGATTAGGATTTCTGGGTCCACTGGTAGTCAGTGACATTTTTATCAGAGACAAAATCGAGGAAAACGTTTCGGTAGGCCAGACCGGTGGGCACCCGGTTCTCGTGTTACCGTTTATGCAGCAGTCTTCCTCCGGCAGCCACATAATACGCGCGTAACTTGTACTCAACGCATCAGAATCTCAAGAGGGGAACATTCGGATACACGTAAAAGAAGAAGAGGAAGAAGGAATAAAAAAGGAAGGAATAGAAATAAATACAAGAGCGGAGACATAGATAGGGACATTCACTCCCACGCGAAACATAACGAGCCGTGTGTTTCGTGCGACATTGTCGACAACGGAAAGTCACGACAATTCGATAATTTCTGTCGAAGTATTTATGGCGTCTCATCTTTATATTTTATCACTTGATAAATCCAAAAGTAGAATTTAGCGAGAAGCAGAAAATCGAAATTCTTCTTCGACGAATTTCATGTCGGTGCAATGCATAATGGGAAGGATGCGCGCGCAAGTCGGCTTCGCGAGTGCGCATGCGCGAACGAACAGACAAATGGCGGATGCAGTAGCTACTCTCAAGAAGAGGATAATCCGCACTGTGAGGACGATCTGACATGATCCCTTGGCATAAATATCGCTAAATACACGTATTTGTCATCTCGATATTAAAAGCCTCTGTATTAAATCCTTTAGTCACGATCGAGTGGATCCTGTAAATATTCCCAGCGATTTCTCATGATTAAAACCGGGATTAAGCCACCGCGCTACGGCGGAAATCAAAACGTGATTCCTGCTACTGCACGAAGGATGATTTAGCGCGTTTAATAATCTTGTATACTTTGTTATTAGCTACTTACTACATTTATATACTGTCATATAATACAGCTAAGCCTATCCCAGCTAGCTGCAGTATTTTCTCAAAACATGTCACTTACAACAGTGTCTATAGAAGAGATTCAAGTAAATCTGCAATTTGTTAAGGTCTAACTGAACTCTTGAGAGTCGATTGAAAAAAATTATGTTACAAATGATAGAGAATACCTTTTTTTCAGATATAAAAAATTGTTTTTATTCAAATCAACTAATTCCGGTTAAATGTCAACGTGCAACCCACTTTACTGTCTGCCTATTTCAAACACGTATTTCAGGCACGTTTCTTGACTCCTTCGTGCTCCTTTATCCGTCCCTAATCTTGACTATCCATCAGGTTTTAAGATTCCTTCAGATGGCACCCACTTACCGTCTGCAGCGTTACGACGTCCCGACGCGTCCTTACGTCACAATTAATTTTGACGTGACATATGAAACGCCTGAAATGTGACAGTTCAATTCCTACTTGGTCCACCCGTTATATTAACGAAAGAATTCGAATGATTCCTGCAGGCACCCGTTATCTTCGCCCACGTATCCTCAGAAAAGGCTATTTAATCATGCGAACCACCTTCTGCCACATCTCGAGCAACAATCGCATCGTAATACAATTTATCTTTCACTTACGACTCTGCTGGATTGTCTATTGGCTATTGAAAGCTTGATAAGGAAAAGAGATTTTAACGAATTTTAAGCAAACAAAAACCACATTTCGTTCTCGAATTTAATGATTCACCCTCTAAAAACATGTGAAACAATTCTTATTATGCTGGCAAGAGAAAATCTGCAGTGTTCAGTAAGCTTTACTATACCTACTTACTTACTCTGGTGGGAGAAGTGGTGTGAAAAATAAAAGAGTTAAGAATTAATGCGCAAAAGTAAAAAGAAAAAAAAAGCACAAAATAACGCGTATAAGCAAGGGGCAGTTGGTCGCTAACTTAATTAGTGAAATTAACGGGGTCGCTCGGCATGTTCAGGCTAAGTGCAGCAATATACGCTCAAGATATTTCCCTTGCTCTTAAAGCGTTTATATTATGTACTCCATAATCTGTACACGCGAAGATTTCTTTGAAAGGAAACATACAAATTAACATGGGCTTTACTTTTGAGATGACTGTACAATTTTTTATAAGAAACGTAAAATTTGTGGAGACTGGGGAAATTTCGACAGTTCTATAATCACTATTAACCATTAGATTGCGTTTATTTTTTTTTTTTGAACGGAAATTGTATATATCGAAGGAGACTTATCACCAAATATTACTCTCACGTCTATATATAGACTTCCGGTAGCCTAGACGTTAAGCACGGTCAAGTACGTAACTTCACACGATATTTAGACACAAATCATTTTCACAAATTGAAATCCAAAGTGCTTCAAATATGACGCGTGCAAACGTCCAAGAGAAGCTTCAAATGGTGATTCAACCAATTTACAGAGAATACATTTTCATAAATTAAACGGCAAGTGTAGGCCCGGGTATTTCGGTACAGTTTGCGTGGGCCGTACGTAAGTCCCCTAATCGCACAAATTAATTAACGTAACTGAGAGATCCATTACCAGAAGGAAAGTATTTTATCTATGGGCAAAGCGCATCGTTAACGGCATGATGGTATGTACCGAATAAAAAAAGAAAGAAAAAAAAACCATTATTCAAGTTGCTCTCTCGCAATCTCCATATGTACAGAGATAATTTCCAGTAATATATATCAACGTAAAGCAAAACATATAAAATAGACACTCCTGATCCTAATACGGCTAGTTGACTATTTTTCATAAAATAAAAACAAACGTACGTCTATCTTCGCATATATCTCTATCGTATATTTATACTATACCGTATGCCTTTATTTTATACCTGACTTCTCTCGGACTCGATAAATATTCGCACGTTCGCGCTCGCATACGATGTCGATAATATACGATGCGCCGCGGTGCAAATATCATCTTACGCGTGACAAAATAATTTCGACAGCCCGAGAGAAGCGCGAAGATAAGTAACGTCGAGGGACCCTGAACATCTTTCCAGCCCTCTACAGTCACGTAAGGTATGGTATAAAGTAACCTACACGTCCACCGAGACACGAAGAACTTCGGTCTGTCCGGATAACGTCATCGTCCGCGTTGTTCGCGTTAATGTAGCACCTTATCAATTTTAGCAGGGTTTTAAAACTCCTTCAACCCCTCCATTTTTTTTTATTCACAGGACATTTTCTTTTTTTTTCATCACCGTCTTATCCGTCTCTCGTATAACTGGACTGGCCCACACTCGTCGCTCCAGGTATTACCACTGACACACGGGATAGTCATGAATATAGCTTGTTATATGTCTCCTGCTTGTACCTTTCTACATGTATACGTATACCTTCATGCCTTGTCTACCTTCATACTGTGAACATAGCGGCGCGTCGATATGAACGCGTGTCCTCGACCGATCGTTTTATTTAAATCGTTCGAGAAAAACATCGATGTTCTTTAATTGCGACAGCCATTGGAAACCCGCTGGAAAGTCGAGTTATACCAATATAACGTGAACGTATAAGTGTGATGACTGGGCGCGCGAAATTTAAAAAAATTGTTTATGTCTGCCAATACGTACCCGCAGCTGTCACAGGGCCTCCAGTCATTGAACGCCTCCGAATTTATCTGATCGCGCGTACACGACATTTGCGAATCCAAGCCGACCGGTTATCGCGAAAGTCTTATTTGCTTGCTTACTAGTTAGGTAGTAAATGCACTAGGAATTGTGAATTAATTCGAAGCGAGGAAGAAGGCTTATCTCTACTCGATATATACACTGCTAGTATTTCTATCTTTATATCGTATAGGTTAGAATATCGCCCTTAGGCTTATAACCTATAAGTATCACTATGCAGCCATGTCTTAATCGAACGCACGCGTGTAATGAAACGGTGCGACTCGAATAGCTATGAATATTCAGCGAACGCATACGTGATTCAGCATTCTGTGTCAGTCGTATAAGCAAGTCGTGTGTATTTGCAACTGGGCAGCAGTCATTCGAGTACCAGCAAGATAATTGTATCTTACAGTGCCACGGCGATCTGTCTCTGTCGACTTTATCTTACCGCTAATTTGTACGATAGGTCGTTCGCAGCAGCAGCGACAGCAGCGACATCACCCGGGCAAACTATCTTTCATTCACAAATGAAACTAGGCGATAGCAGCAGACGCTGCCGAACGACATTCCGCGCGGAATTCAAATAAGACTAAGAACAATGACGCCTCTTAATCTCACACCCGGTATAATAGTAAACCGTACGTTGGAGAATCTCCGAGGATTCTGTAAGACGTCGGTTAATT